ACAGAGGCCTCAGCAGGTAAGAGCATTGGCTGCTCTTTCAGAGGATGCAAGTTTGACTCTCAGCACCCATACAGCAGCACACAAATGTCTGTAACTCCAGTTTCAAGGAAATGGAAGCTCTCCTTTGACCTCCATAGGCACCAGGCACACACACAGTGCACAAACATACCTATAGGTAAAATTTCATACACACGAAACAAAATAAATACAAAAAGACACAGTTTTTAAAATCTAATTAAGCTTGTCAGTGGCAGCACACACCTTAAATTCCAGCACTTTAGATGCAGAGGCAGGAAGATCTTAGAGTTTGAGGTCAGCCTGGTCTACAGAGTGACTTCCAGGACAGCCTGAGCTACACAGAAAATATCTGTCTAAAATATCCATAAAAAATCAAAATCCAATTTAACTTAAATTCCCCTCTGTGGCATTTTTGTGACACTCTGATATAATTAACTTCCTTCCTTCTCTACTTCACTAGACAAGGAGATTATTTTTTTTTAAGACAAGATCTTACTACACAGCCCAGGCTAGCCTCAAGTGTGAGATGTTCCTGCTTTAAGAATGCTGAGAATACAGATATGCACCATTATGCCTCGTCTGACTATGAGCACCTTCATTTCACTGAACTAGGAAGTTATGGTAAGTACTTGGTAAACACAATGTGTATAGGGTCAGAATTTATTATCTAAAATTAAAACATAAATTATCCAATTGTAAATAAATGGCCAAATATTCAGTTATATAATAACCAGAAGATCCATGTGCTATTATAGTTATTAACTTAATTTCACTGACTTATAAAGCAACAGCTTCAGAAAAAAATCAAAAAACATCAAATATTGTCAAGCTACTTTATATCTACCATCTTATGATGGAAGATAGAGATATTAGCTCCACTTTAACAATGTCCCCACTTGCTCTTGTTCTCTTGTCTAGCCTCTCTTGCCTAGTGTACTAGTGTGTGTGTGTGTGTGTGTGTGTGTGTGTGTGTGTGTATGTAATATGCATTATATTTATAGAAGCCAGAAGTCAATCTTGAGGTCATTCATCAGAAGGGACTTTCTTTTTTTTTTTTTATAATTTTTTTTTTTTGAACATGAAATGCTTTTTTATAGCATGTTTTACAAGGGGAGGGGGTAAGCGGGGCCAGGTGGTGGAAAAGTACAAAATCTTCTTGGCCTGTGCCTTGAAACATGTCATGGTCTATACGGTACACTGCCTTGAATTATGATCTACCTGCTGTTCTTCAGAAGATATAGTACACTGCTTGAGTTATGGTCTCCCTGCTATTCTTAAGATGATATGGTACTCTGCTTTGAGTCTATCTGCAGTTGCTAAGCAGGATCTTGCAGTTGCCAAGCTTCAGAGGACATTGTGCAGGTGGGGAAAGGTAGGGGGTGAGGGTAAGGGCTAGGGTCCTGGCTTCTGGCATCTCCCCCTTCTCTGTTTAGTTAGAGAAGGCATCTTATGATCAATAGAAGGGACTTTCTTTAAAAAAAAAAAATCTATTTCAGAGGAATCTTGGGCCCCTTTGGTTAGACTAAGCAGGCTGGCCTGTATCTTCCTAGGGATCTGCCTGCCTCTTCCTACCTACCTCACTGTAATTACGAATGTGTGCAACCAGGACAGGCTTTAGACCAGATTGCTGGGCATCAAACTCAGATCCTCATGTGTGCATGAAAGCACTTTATCAACCGAACTATCTCTCTAGCTCTATTATTGGATTCTCTTAATGGTTATATCATTGCTTTAAGCATATGAGCTTTAAGACATAGCTTTTTCCTAACACTTCTCTAGGGCACTTTATCTCCTATTCAGTTTAACAAAATATAGTACATGGTTGGCATCAAATTACTAATGAATATAAGAGTCATGATGTTTAATAGCATGCTACAATCTGGGCCTAATCAGAAAGTTATATAAAATCAGAAATTCTACTACTAATATATTATTCAAAATGTGTTGAGTCAATGAACAAACTGCCTCCCTTAATAAATAGATGGATGGATGGATGGATGGATGGATGGATGGATGGATGGATGGATGATGTGGGGGATCCATTAAGAGGATACATATCTGAAAAAACTAAAGTAAAGTCTGTTACATTTTGATTCATACAACCTTAAACGTAAGTCATTAAAGTTCTGATACATCAATCTGAAAATGTTCTCACTATTGGCCATTAATAAAGTGGGGATATAACTAGCTGTCACTTTACCCACAAAAATACAACCTCAATCCCCATTTTTCCAAACCTACAAGCAACTAAATGAACACAGTTGTACCACAATCTTATAGCTTAAGAAAACCTTAGACTACAGTGATTGAACTAATTGTTTTAATGAGTTTCCCTCAATTCTCCAACTCTCTTTTCCTTTGCTGTCTTTTGAACTTGCAGTGATTCCTTTTCTTTCTGCAAGTCATGGATGCTTGTAAGAAACTAACATAAGGTGTAAAAGTCAGAAAAATAAATGTATACCCAATTTTTTTCACTTAATTTGAAGAATTTTGAACCCCTAGCAAAACAATAACCCAGACAAATAACTTATATTGCCATATGGCTGTTCTATAATCACATACAACTCCTTTACACACTTTCAAAATTTGGAATTATCACAGTGAAATATAATACATAGCATTAATATTTTTAAAATTTGGTCTAAGGGGGCCGGAGACATGGCTCAGTGGTTAAGACTGCTCTTCTAGAGGTCCTGAGTTCAATTCCCAACCACCACATGGTGGCTCACAACCATCTGTAATGGGATCCTATGCCCTCTTCTGGTGTGTCTGAAGATAGTAACAGTGTACTCACATACAAAAAATAAATAAATAAATAAATAAATAAATAAATAAATAAATCTTTTAAAAGGTCTTACCATACTTGCAAAACTTTAAGAATCCCAGGTAAACTCTTATCATTTGATCAAACTCTTTGCTTTAAAATGAGCAATATTCAATTCCTGATATTATTAGCTATGACACATTGGCTTCTAGAAATCATATAAAGCTATAAAGGTATACTTGAATAGAATAAAAAGACAAGTCATGCTGGTATTATGCTTTGGGTTCCAATACTTGATTTGTTGTATCAAGCCATGTTCACTATGGAACAGTGAAGTTAGTTAGCTAGGAACTGAAAGTGATACTATCTCATAATTACCTAGTTACCTTGTCAAATCAAGTAAAACATAAAAGATGAGATAGGGCCAACAGCCAAAGAGTAGATGTTATTCCTAATAGAGATAAATGCTTTTCCTTCAGTATACTGAAAACTGGGAGATTCCCACTAGATGCATAAAACTATTTATGGAATCTATCCCTTAGCTTTTATTTTTAAACTTTTTACTACAGTTTATACTAGGCCAAAGAGGGAGGAGAGTGAAAACAGAAGTAGGCTCACTCTTTTACCACAAACTAGTACATTTCAAAGTCACATTATCAAAACTTTGACTGCTTGGCTGGGTGTGGTGACTCGTACACTCGGGAAGCCCGCATAGGAGGATCTTTGTGAGTTCAAGGTCAGCCTGTTCTACTAGCTCGGTCCAGAGCAGCCTCCACTTCATAGAGATACCCTATCTCTATGGGAAAAAAAAACTTGAAATGCATTCAAGTCTAGCAATAAATTCAGAACTATTTTCTTGAATCCATGATGGTGCAGGCACTCATAACTGTGACAAATATTGCAGACAATTCAAAAAGTTGTGACTCAGTTTCTTTCTTTGTAAATTCTTGGTGTCATAGGACATATTAGGCAAGTGATTTCTAGATTTGTCTCAGGTTTGTATGGAATTAATGATATTTTAAAGATGCAGTATTAATCTAGCCCGTGTCCTTTTGCACAGAATGGAAGATTTCATATGTCCTAATATTTGAGCCCTGTTTTTCCATATGGACAGTCCATAATAGGAAAGTAAGCAGGAGCCAAAGAGAAGTGCAAGTCCAGAGCAAATGGCCAGATGCCACAGGAAATGGTTTGAGTTGCATGTCACAGTCTCACCCTCTCTTCTATTATAATTAAGTTGTTGCTTACAACTGAAATGTAGACAAGCAACATGTGGTTTGTACTTGGGACGTAGAGTAGGATTCTCATGTTCAAAAGGCTCAGGAGAGGCCAAAAAAGTTTGTTTGCTGAATCTGTGCAGGAAACTCCTTTCTACTCATGCCACTGAAATTAGAAAGTTTACCAAAAGAGGAACCCTTTTAACTGATGAGTTGAAGAAATCCCAGTATTTCCTAACCCAATACCAGGCCCCATCGATTTCTGGCCTCTTGGCCGGAAATGAACTACTACTGGACCACACTGTCAGGATTGTGAGACAAGTATGGGGAACATAACTGCTTTTGAGCATTCTCAACCAAGTGGAAACGCTGTGTTGGGATAGTCTGGGGGGGGGGGGGGGGGGGTCACGCAGCCTCCAACTCCTCCCACACTCCCCCCAAGTCCCGGACTTCCAAAGAAATGTTTCTTGGGTGAGCACATGGGGTGGGGGGAGCAAACGCACTCAGGCGCCTCTTCTTTAGATTTCTGGCAAAGTTGAAGGACCTGGGAACCTATGTCGTGCTTGTCTTGATTTTCTTAGCTACAAATGAACTCCAATGTGTTCGAAACCAAGAGGAGGGAGGCTCCCCTACCCAGGACCCCAAGTGTTAAGAGACCAAAGAGCAACTGACAAGAGGTGGGAGGGAAATGGAATCCTGCAAAGAAGGTTCGCGCCCACAAGTTAGACAAACAGCCCTACCCCAGGACTCTAGGACGAGACGCAGGGTGTCCCCAAGTTGGGGTGGGGCCTTTCTCCTCCACACGCTGACCCGAGAGTGAAGGCCGGGTTAAGTGGAGAAGGGGTGCTCTTCCGCCCCCACGCCGTCTCGGTTCCCTGAGTTGCGCGACGAGATCGCGGTTGCGGCCGGGAGGGGAGGGCCGGGTCCCCGGCGTGTTCCCAGGCAGGATGATCCGGGGCTCTCCGGTCCCCGAGGCCAGCGGGGCTTACGAGAAGACTTACCAGTTTGGGTTTGTTTTTCGTCTCCTCTTCGTTGGCGGCCCGGTTCCCCGCGCCTCGCTTGTTGCTCCGGCCCACGCCGGGTTCCTCGCCGCCGCCGCTGCCGCCGCCGCCTCCAGCTCCCGACGCCGCCGCCCCGAGCTGCTCCATCTTTCTCTGGCCCTGTCACCTGCCGCCCAGAAACCCCAAGTCTCCTCAACGGCAAAAACCCCTAGAAGCGCTCAGGGTGTCCCGCCTCCACGAACAGAGAAGGTTGCCCGCCAAGCGCGGCTCCCAGGCCACCGGGTCTTCCCAAGCCCAGGAAACCCCGACGCAAACCACGCCGGTGCCACCACTCAGCGCTGGGGCAAGCCCTGCCCCTAAGCAGCTGCAATCTCCGCGGTCGCCTCCGCCCTCGGGGCGGTGTTTAGGGTGGAGGAAAAGTAGGTGACTATCTCTTTAAGACGGCCTCAACACACGTGATTCATCAAAGTGCCCGCTGTCGGTCGCCCGGGCGGGCTCGAAAGCCTCTTCCTACTTGTGAAGCTGAGCTGGCCGGGCTACCGAGCATGCCCGGAGAAAAGATTGGAGCCTACCAGAGGACATTCTACTGTGGTTAAGCACTGATTTCACTTCCTAGTTGTCTAGCACCAAAAGGAAGGGAACTAGTCTAGACCAGTTAAAAAAAAAAAAGAGACAGACAGACAGAGATAGACAGACAGAGACGAGAGAGACAGAGACAGAGACAGAGACAGAGAGAGAGAGAGAGAGAGAGAGAGAGAGAGAGAGAGAGAGAGAGACCATTTTAGAGATAGGAAAACTGAGTGAGGAGGATTCTTGTGAGCATTTTACTGGTTAGGGCACCAGTCTCAGCTTTCACTAGTGTTGGTCAATGCACCCTCCCTAGACAGAGAGCCCTCAGGGATGTGCTCTTGCTTCACTCAGTGGGAAGGTTTAATTAGCAAGGCAACTGGCAAAGTGTAGGAAAACCACCAAGGGGAGTTCTGATTAATTGCCTAGACAGATTGTATGCACCAAAGTGGAAAGAGTGGGCGCCTCTGTTGCTGTGATTGCCTTGTGGCCCAAGAAATACAATCATTGCTTTCTTTGCAGGCTGTTGGTGGTTAAAGCCACCAGACCCCTACCATAGCTTTTTAACCAAGGCATCCATATACAGTTTACTATTTTACTGAGTCATATCTTCCATTTCCCAAGCTAGTTTAGTTTGGTTATTGTGAAGAGTAAATAAGATGTTATGTGTTGAGGCTTTGTTTAAAAGATAAATCCCTAGACAACGATAGCACCAGGGAGCAGTCTTCAGTCAAGGTACTCATACCTACTATTTCATCCTCAGAAAGTAGATTTTCACATTGTTTTTCAAAGGTCCCTTACAAAGGCAGGGTTTGAGCGAACCACGAAACCATAGCAGAATTAGGGACCAAGTAGTGATGAAGCCACTTGTAATAGAAACTTAAATGCCAAGTCCATAAACATGTCTATAAACCTGCTAATGAGGAAGAGAACTTGGGGCTATGAGGCCTTTTGGCCTTCTCCAATTCAATTGGAAGTTATGCTGAAACACATTTTTATCTGAATGAATATAGTATGATACATTTGGCCACCATGTGGGTGATGATGTGAATAAGTTGAACAATAAAGCATAGAATTGTAGTATCTTTAAAGAGCTCAAGTCCCAGCTTTGTCTTTATCATTAAGTTTCTTTTTAATCCTGCAGTCAGGCTGTCTCTGTTCCTAAAGTAGCCAACTACCCAAGGACATCAGAGCACGAGTGTGTGCTCTCAATACAGAGGACAGAAGCTCCAAGATACATTTGCCTTCTTGAAGATCATGCTTAACTATGAATTAGATCTATATTTTCAATTTGACTCATTACACACATACACAATTGAATCTAAATTTCATCCCACCTAAAAAAAGAGTAAAACACGATAGATGTTACAGAAAGATAATGAATTGTTTACCAACACTTACACGTACTTCTGTAGAAGAAATGTGGATATAGGTCAAATTGAGGGGCCACCAAGTTTAAACATTTCTCAGTAATCTGTTCAGCAAACATGTTCTTACACCAAATGGTAAAAAAAAAAAAAAATGCTCTGAGTTGGAAGCCTAAAGCTGACCTAATTTCTGCCCCTTAGGCTATTGGAAGAAACAGGCTAAAAGAATTGCATCATGGGACAAAATTAGGTGAACAGGAAACTCATGGAGTACATGTCAGAAGCTCAAGAGGACCTTCCCTAAGAAGATGAGGTTTGAGCTGTTAAAAGTCAGCTAAAAGCCTTTAAGCACCAGCAATGTAGTACTACAAATGTGGTTTATTGTTATGGAGCTCTCAAACTATTGGGGAAGATACGTAACAAAAATGTATTGACCAATTTCAAAACAAACAGGCACAGAAAACATTCTAGGCAGGCAAAGGGACTAAAGATAGGTTTTGCAAAAACCCTATAATTAAAAAAAAACAGACAAACTAAAGTGGGGGACTGTTTCAAGACAACGCAGCATAGCATGCTGTTCCACTGGACAAGCAGAGGCAGGCAGACCTCTATTTGAGATCAGTCTAATCTGCATAGCAAGTTCCAGGCTAGCAAAGATATAACTTAGTAAGATCTTGCCAATAAATAAATAAATAAATAAATAAATAAATAAATAAATAACAGGATAAATACAAATTGTGGCCATCTCAGACCCTGGCTTAAGTCTTGCTGTTTTTTTCAGGTTTTTGCTCTAATGTGAAAAGTAAATTGTAAAGCAAATGCACAAACAGAATCAGGAATCAAGGTCATTGGTTTCTCTTGGAAACTAACACACAAGGAAGAAAACAGTAGCCTCAAGCAAGAATATTTTGTCCCTTAACTCTGAACCTAACATTTCACCAACTGCTGTCTTAAGGTTGATCTCACTTCACCTACATTCCCTTAATTTTATTATTTTCCTCTTGTCACACATACATAGGCTTATGGGGTGAGAAATATCTTTTTTTCTGGTGCTGAAGAAAGAAGGATATGCTCATTAGCTAGACTATTAAAAATATATGTTAGACCCATTGGTTCCCCAGTCTCTTGCATCAAGTCCCACATCAGCTATTGGAGGAAAAAAAAGTATCTTTCTTCAGACTGACCTTAAAGACATCCATTATCCTCATCTAAACAATCTGTAATTCATAGAAACATTAAATGAAACACAAATTAGGGAAAAATGAGAAAAAAAACAACTTCAAGGTCACTGCAAAATATTTATAAGTTAATGGATGACTAAAAGTAAACAAGTATTTGCTAAGCATATGTTAAGTTGCTAACATCAAACTAGATGTGATACAGATTTAAACAGCGCTGGACCTTCTGCTACAATGTCATATATATCTTCCTAGAGAACCTCTAGGTGTTTGTTTGTTTGTTTGTTTGTTTGTTTAAAAAAACTACATACTACAGATTAAACAGTACTTACAGAAAATATAGTTAAATAAGACCACTTAAATGCAAAACAACTAGTAAATCAGAGCATTAACCAAAGGAAGCACTAGCAACATAATGAGTTCAAGATCAGCCTAGGGTACAGGAGATAATGTGAAAGAGATCAGGGAGGGGGTGGAGAAACTAGTCTGTTGTGCTAGCTAGTTACATGTAAACTTGACACAAGCTACAGTCATTTTTGAAGGGAAACAACTCAATTAAGAAAGTACCCCCACCAGATTGACCTATGGACAAGCCTGTGGTGCATTTTCTTGATTAATGATTGCTATGGAAGGGCTCAGCTTCCACCACTAGGTTGGTCATCCTTGGGGCTATAAGAAAGCAGGCTGAAATCTGTATTCCCCCGAGCACCCACACTCCAGTGTCATTCCCTTCCCCACATCCTGCTTTTCTGTGTTTATAACCCCTGTGTGAATGAATTAAGATTTGAGAAAAAATAAATTATTAAAAAAAAAAAAGAATCAAGGCAATAAGCAGCACTCCTTTATGGCTTTTGCATCAACTCCTGCTTCCGGGTTCCTGCCCTGCTTGAGTTCCTACCTTTTCCCGGACTGTTTCTTGAAAGTATAAGATGAAATAAATCCTGTCCTCTCCTACTTACTTATGGTTATGTTGTTTCATCACAGTATTAGAAACACTAAAACAGGTAGTATACAGTATACTAAAGTCAAACAACGAGACAAATTAGGCCTAGAATAGAATTTTTCTAAGAGTATTGCTTATGCTGGTAAAGTTGAATCAGAAATCAGACTTGAAAAAGCCAAGCAAAGAAAAGAAGAAGGAGAAGACAATCTATGAAATAGCCTGGAAATAACGTTGACCAATGATATTTAAAGGCCAGATGCCAGAATAGTTAAAACTTGGGTGTTAAATAATACTGGGAAAGCTTTTGATTTCCATAGCCTTTTCCTAGTATGCAAACAGATTTCAGTGTAAGACACAGCACTATTCACTGATAAGGATCTTTAGCAAGGAAGTTATAAAACATGTGTTAAGGGAGCTGTTTTGGCAATGGTACTTGAAATAACTTTGAAAACTGATTTTAAAAAATGGTTTCTCTTAGTAATAATTTCTTCTTTAAAATAAATAAATAAACAAATAAATAAATAAATCTCTTTACAGAGCCCAGAATGTACAGCAGATCAAAATCGAGGTGACCTGTTTGGTTAGTTCTCTACTTGGCTTCTATATCACCCCCTGAGGAAACCCTTTGAGGCACCTCTGCTCTGACTAAAGCTAGGTAAAGTCCTGAGGACTGGAACTGGAGCAGCCCCAGAGGAAATACAGAAATGGCTCCAAGAAACTTTGAAAAGGAAGAAATCATTTTTCTATCCTATACATTCTATACAAGAAACAAAGGAAAGGAATGGTGGATAAACAACAATTAGCAAAAGAGTGCCTCAAGGGGAAAAAAGACAAGATAGTAAGCTGGAAGACATCATTTCAACAGGCAAATGTCATGGCAAGCAAAGTCAGACCAAGGTCCAGAAACTAAAGAAAGTAATGCTAGCAGTTCAGGAGAACTCACAAGGTCCTATAGTCACCATGAAAAGTGTGGTGTGTGTGTAAGTTGGTTAGAGGCCAACTTTTAGGAGTTGGTTTTCTCTTTATACCACGAGATTCAGGGTTAGAATTCACGTCCTCTGGTTTGCCTGGCAAATGCTTTTATCCCTTTAC